GCACGACGATATCTCGGGAACCGGAAGTCGTATCGAGATAAATCAAAAAGCGTTTTAAAGGATAAAGTTGCGCGTTTCTAACGATCTTTCATTCGTTGACAGGAAGTTATTAATTTTTAGAGTTATAGCGATTTGGAATTTTTCCAATTTTAATAGAATGTTACAATCACGATTAATCGTTCAAAGATCCCTTATGGAGGAATACATTCACTTTGACGAGGATTTTTCTTCGTACCAACGATTTATTATAACCATTTTAGCGAACTCCTTTATAATCCAATCCTCTTTTCCTTAACGCCCATTATTGCATTAATATTCTACTTGCATTAACTGATTATCTTTTCTCTCCTTTTATTTTATCTATAATATTCTCTTTACACGTAATAATAAACTAATTACCTTACAGGTGCTCAATTTTATTAAGCAACATTATTCCTTTACTTTTTTCCCTTCGTTTCGTCAGCTACTCGTTACTTCCTTAATCGACATAATTAATCTCGACGAAGATCGATTAAATAAAGATCCAACTTATCTTAAGGATACTATAACTTTTAAATTAATACGAGGTCTTCAATGTTTTATTATTAAACGTGATCCGAGGAAATCAACTTCCGAAGAAAACGCACGAATTACGAAGAATCCGCCGTGAATCTTTTCAACTTTTCGAGGCCAACATTGGCGAAAGAATTTTTCAAGAACATCGTTATCGATCTATCGTTGACTGGGCTCCTAATTCGGCCGTATTAGATCGGACAACTATCTGGCAACAAGAAACAAGAAGAAAAGGCAAGAGACGTACTTACATTCTTTGTGGCTGGCAACAATGGGAAACAAGCCGAGCTACTTCCTTCCTTCCTCGGGTCTTATCGGGCTCTTTGCCCGTTCAAAACAGACCTACACGCTCCACGATTTCTGGTATTTTACTCGATGCTCATCCATCTGGCTGCACGATTTCCATCGTTCTATGCTCTATCTCTTAATTTCAGTCAGGATAGATCAGAGATGTTTATTTTTATAACATTTCTTTTGTATCGACTCACACATTATATGAAATTTCAATTTTATTAATTATAATCAAATAGCTCGAATCTCGAGGAAATCGTCAAATTATAGTTCGATAAAGAAGATTCGATAAGTAAATAAATTTATCCAAAAAGCTTGAAGCTGTTGAATTATCGTAAGATCGAGAAACTTTTATGAATAAGCAGAATTATGATTGAAGGGTAGAAGAAATAGGGAGGTGTCATCTATTTGAGATGAGATAATCGAAAGAAAGCATCTTGCAAATTTCACAAGTTGCAGAAATTCGATACGAATGAAGATAAAACTCGGAAGATTAAAATAATTAAAATAATTCGTGGAAAATAACTCGAGGTTTAAAATAAATTTTATCGAAGAAAGGAACGAACAAAATAAAATATAACGAAAATTTTATCGGAAAAGAATTGGACGAATAATTAAGTATTCGTAAGAAATAAAAGGAAATTAGTCGACTACTGTTGCTATAAATTTGAAGATGCTCGTAAAGGTGATAATATCTTTTCTCTTCGATTATGGAGAATGACTCGTAGAGAGAGAGAGAGAGAGAGAGAAAGAGAGAGAAAGAGAGAACGAACTTCCTGATAAACAGACGCAATATCGTAAAATTTTACGCTGTGGCCTATATTACGACGAGGTCTTTTAATTCGTGGAACCTCTATATACTTGCTCCATACCTTTATATAGCAATTTCACTATTTTAAAATCTACTTTTAAAATCTACGATCAACCACGAATTTCGCGAACCCGTTATAATAAACTTGGGAAGAAAAATTTCTTCTATTTTATTCATTATTCATTGATTGACATATTTTTTTTTTTTTTAATATTAACATATTAATTGACGTCTGCAACGACGCGTAAAATGATCGGGAGTAATTATAAGAAAATATAAAAAAAACTATATAATCAGAGCTTCGTTAATATTTTCCAGGCCAAATGTTTTAAAAAAAAATTTAAAGTGAGATTCTAATTTATTCGCAATACGAACGCAAAAAGTCGAAAAACGAGAAAAAAAGATGTCGAATGAAATGTTTGAAATCTGCGATTTGTCCAGCAAATGGTATAATTTCAATTATTCGAGTTTCAAACGCTGAGAAAAACTAAAAATTCTCGCGTGCTTAACGCGAAAGTATAATGAAACCACGGATAGCACTTCTCCGATAAGATTTGAGAACCGTCTATTGTACCGAAATTTCTTTCACGATACTACGTTTAAAAAGACGAGACTACGAGATTTTCGCGAGAAATTAATTCTTTCGTCGCGAATGAAACGAGAATGGAGAGGAGGGGGAGGGGTGGATGGAAAATAATGCAATTTAATCCGGGAGAAACTGAAGAAATAAAAGAGAGAGAGAGAGAGAGAGAGAGAGAGAGAGAGAGAGAGAGAGAGAGAGAGAGAGAGAGAGAGAGAGAAGTAAGTAAAAGTAAAAA